TTCGTTATGAGTCGATGCCCTCCACTTAGTATAGCCTAAGATATGCGTGGAAAGGAAGTCAGCCGATAAGCTGAGCAAATATCACCAGAATACTAGACCCGTTTCCTTGTGAATGCTTCAAATAATCACAATAAAACATGGGCATTCCTTAGTTAGTGCTAAAGGATAATTATTTACTTAAATTATCATAAAGATCGTATCACAATTTATTCTATTTTGTATCATTGCTTAGATTGTCGTATATCAAGTGACAGATAGAGTGTGAAGGCAGTTGGCGCAAAGGCAATGATATTGAATCTAAAAGAATTATGGCGATAAAAATGACAGGTAGTTATTAATCTTATGTCCAGTCTGTAACGAGGCACAAGAGAGGGGCAGAAAGGTCTGGGGTTGGGTTACCTCCGCCACAAAATTATTCACCTATCCCGGAGGGGGCGCTGTGGAGGTCCCCCTCCCCCTCTCCTCGCTAGCTCGTATTTCGACCAAATTAGGCTTGACCCTACCCCTTCCCGCACTTATTTGAACACTCACTACATACAAACCTCATTTACTTGAAATGGAAATAATACAGAAATGTCAACACGAATATATTTCTATAGTACAAAATCAAGAATACTTTTAAAGTTTTTACATCAACACCGGACCTAATCCAGTCTGTATTTGTTCTTACCAAATGGAGCTCACGATAAGACCTATATCATGTTAACAAAAAAATGTAATGGCTTTTCACGGTGATATTCGTAAATTTTGACATCAACACTTGATGAAAACCCAGACCTCACACATAGCTAGGCTAATGTGCAGTTGCCTGGTAGCATAGGGTTTATGTAGTGATGTAGATCGAACAGATTATTGCATGCCCGACGAGATTTTATATTATTTGCTTTTTGGCAAACAGTCAAGGGCCATACGTTTCTGATGAATGGAGGACCACTTTAAGGTGTGCAAAATTGAGTTTGTCTAGACGATTGGAATGCCTGATTAAAGGTACGCGTTTTGTTTTGGACTGGCGTGAGCGATTACATGATTAGCAGGAGCTAGTTTGGCTTACATAATGGTTGAAAATTGAATTCAGTTGATGTTTGCGTGGAAACAAACGTCTGGCTTTTTCCGATGGCATGCCAAGCTATTCAATTAGCAAACGTAGTATGGAATCGGCAAACGCCCCTCAGCCCCTCCCCGTTTTTTAAGGCTAAGAAGAAAAAACAAATATCGATGAAGTGGGTTTACGGCAGCCTATGTACATCCAACCCTTGCTTGTTACCTCGTGGATATGTCTCACAATATCAATAGTTCATTATTTCTAGAAAATGTTGTGTTATCAAGAACCATAAATACAACTGATGCCTTTATAAGTTACAGTATAGACCTACATATATAAATATATTTTGTCACAATGTTATGACCGAAAATGTTACTACTGGTATATCATATTACGATCTGTCGCGCTATACCATGTCATATCGTATCATAACCTATCATGCCTATATAGGCCTATATTTTTCAAATTTTATTTGCTTATTCAGGATAATGTCAAAGAGGTATAAATTACATTATAATTCTGATAATGGTACCGTAATTCAAATACACTTGAGATTATAAGCTCTTAAACTATGCATTTAACCTTTAAGGTCGAGTAAAGGTTGTGTTTGGATAGTGGTATAGTTGGGTCAATCATTAAAGAACTGACATAGGGTTATGTACTACTCTATTATTGTCAGTATACAGTTTCGAAGACGGTTTCAGTGATAAATTTATATGAAGACGACATATACACACGTTTACATGTGTCTGCAGAACGTTGATGCACATTATATTTTAATAACTTGAAGGGGGACTGCTCCGTCTTTTGCCTGAACATCAACTTTCCATTCTCTATATTCTGCGAGAGGCGCAGCAAACGAAAAAATGATGTACATTATGTTGCAGCAATATTCATCGTTTAGCATGATTAGTGTATAATGTAGGCCTATACCCATCTCGCCCAGATAGGTCTTAATAGTATTTCATTATTTTAAGGCCCAATCCCTCTTAATTAAACAAATGACAAATGAAATACGAACAATATGTGATTAAGCACATTAGTGCCCCCTAATTGTGTTCTTCTCACTGCTACAATTATTCTAGTCCTCAAAACAGCCTGCAAAACGCACCTGATACTAGGGTGCACCCCTATTTTTTTTGCCAGAGACTCGTGGATTGGAAAGGCACCTATGAAACATGATGGCTCTTTTTGTGTGTTCTTGTCACAGGTTTATCGGACTGACTTCACCCTAGCACTCCCCCTCCCCCCCCCCCCAAGCCTTCATCGGCCATAGATTACTGTATCCCCCACTGTAGTATGGCATGAGAAAAATGAAGAAAAGAATTCAGAAAGAATGGACGAGGACAGACAAGTCAAAACAACACATTCGAGACGGGTACATAATATAAGAGTAACGTAACAGAAGAAGTAGGGGGAAGGAGCCAAGAGTTCACAAAGAGGGTAGGAGACGTCGGGAACGAGGAAAAATGTGAAGTTCACGACACTCCATCGAGGTGACAGGTTTAATTCCCGTCTAATTACTTCCGAACCTGAAGGCAGACGTATCGCGTCGTCTGATGACGGGGTTCAATGCTGACGGGGTGAGTTCTTAGAAAGCAAGGCGACGATGTGACATCATGGAATGATTTAACGGGACTGCGTCACACCAGGAATACAAGCGAGAGGTCAAGGTAGAAAGTACCAAGGGTTTCCCCTCTGCCACGTGAACTTTCACCTTGAGGAGTGTTACAAACTATTGGCTCCTGACACCAACCCTAGCTACCCATCCTACCTTTATACCAGGTGGTGCGATCTGCTCCCCTTTGTCAAACGGAATTTCCCCCTGGCAATGTTGGATTGTTCTAAATAATAATAAATATTGACACCTGACTCCACCCTACCTCCGTTCTCCTACCACTGCTACCAGATGATGCGATCCGCACCCCCTCTGCCTCTGCCAAATGAACTTTAACCGCTCGGAGTGTTACAGACATTGGTACCAGACTCCACTCATTCCCCTCCCCTTTCTACTTTAATACCAGATGACGATAATGTGACCCACACCCCCTGCTAAATTAACTTTCACCAAGAAAATTCGTGGAGTGTTACACCCTACTAGTATAGGTACTTGATTGATCCACCTAGCCTAGCCCCACCCCTTGTATCGAAATACCAGTGTATGCGATCTACACTCCTTCCAAGATACTACACCATGTTTACTGTGTTACTGCACGTAACTAAGATCTCCATAGTTTTTCAAAATGAATAGATACGACACCTCTTTTTATTTACCCAACAACATATTTTCATTAAACAAATATGGTGAGCTTACAGCGGCAGCTAAATTACAGAAGTGATATTAACACGCCGCTTGACGTCTCTCACATTCAATGCGTTCGCTATTTTCTTGAAAAGAAGGCAATTAATGCCATGCTTTTTCTGTACAGTGCTTTAAAGTCGAATGGTATATGCTGAATGCTTTTCAATCATGTGCAATATATAGGCGCCTTGGGCGAAGATAAACCAGTTATTCTTGATCTTCCGATAACGACATTTAGGTCACGTCTAAATACACTAATAACCTAGAAAATTGTCTGATAGCTTTGAAGAGTTTTTCTCGAAGCGACGGTAGAGAGCTGAAATAGGGATGCAGACATTATGACGATTACAGTCAATAAATGACATAATTATGATTTGGGTAACAGATTGGGGAGTACTTTAAGGCGATAATTCCAGCATTATCGTTGAGATTGGGGATGATTTATTCTCATTAGTGTCAAATCAAAAGAGACCCATGAGTTGGGCGACGAATAAGATTCTGAAAGGTGACTTTAATATGGCGCCTCCGCCATTGACCTAACAATCTTTCTTTTCAGGGATAACCCTCAACTATGACATGACAATAGAAAAAAACAAACATTAAGCAATGACAAAAGAGGAATACAGCTATCCCGTCTGAAAAAAAAATCATAGGAAATCTGCTGGAGAGCTAACGGAGCTCTAACAGAGTAATGAAGTGTCATTGAATACAACCAAGGGAATCAGCAAAGCATAATGGCGAGAATCGCCCCAAAGAAAACATGTGGAGTTTTATAGCTTTTTTAATATTCTGCAGACAGCATTTGTCATCTATACTTCTTGAGTAAGCTTGTTATTCATTAATTAATTTGTTGTCCCACTTGCACACCCCCATACAATACGAAATGCTGGCTAAACTATTGTGAGAAAATAGAAAAGGTCAGTAAATTCACCTTGCAAATAATGCAGTAGCAGATTAAGAGGAGGGGATTGGAATTCGGCGCGCCCCTCTTAAAAGCCAACCATAATTTAAAAAATGTATCCACTAATCTGATAATTGTGTTTTGTGTCTCTTTCAATTTTAGACCCAAACAGCTCTTGAAAATATGAAAGCCTTTGTTGTTGTTTTTTTTGCTTGCTATTGCTTGTCAGATATCTTTTAACGTTGCCTTCCACCATTTGTTTACGAAGCCCATGTAGAGCCGCCCCTGAATTAAATGGTATCGTGTCCGATAAATGACCAGGTCAGTTAGATTTGGAGAAAATTGAAAGAAAACAGAAGAGTCACGGCTAGCATCAAAACTTAATATTTCATAAATCGTTTCTGGTTAACATAGTTAACGCGATCAGTTGACTAGTCTTGACCGTTCAGACGCTGTTGTGAAATTGCCCAATGCAGCGGATTTTGATTTCAATAACGAGATAATTCTGCAATACCGATGAGGCGTATATCCTTTATTGAAAAACAGAGTTCGGAGAATAGAGAGTGTATACTAGTCTACCAAGTCTACGAGTGTATGTTCACAGTGATCTTTAATGGTGATCAACAACGGATTAGTTCCTGTAACCTAGCGAAAACCCCAAGATAAAGGACTACGCCATGCTTGATGGTGGTATAAGGGATTCTGAAGATGACCCCTCCATCCTCCTTAAAAACTCTTCGAAATCTTCATCGCGCATTCGATGTTCGATAAACGCATTCCACGAACTCCGCGGATTCCGAGGGGTTTCGCGTCAGCTCCGCTCTGTGCCCCAGCATCCCCCGATGGACACATCTCTCCATCTCTCTTCATCTCCATCCATGGACGTCGCGTAAGGGGCGAGTGGGAAGGGGAGGGTTTTCGAACCAAATATTTCGGTTCGATGAGTTGCCGGTAATTATCTAAGAACAATTTGTAAAATTATAATTAACTTTGAAACGGATAATGGATACCTGTCGACAATAACAACATAATTTCCCATAGAAATTATAATAAGAAATGGGGCTGGGGCTGGTGGAGGGTGAGGGTTGTTACAACCCACCACGTATGGAGACCTCGGCGACGCCCCTAGCTGTCCTGTCTCAAAGAACTGCCATTCATTACTCTACATTGATCATACAACAGCTCAAAATAACTCCGACCATTACTGATGGTTGTCTGGTATGAATCGTGATAATTCCATCTTTGTGGGGCATCGCAGCCCTCTGGACACGTCTCGCCCAGCTCAGACTTCTAAATGGGGAGGTCGGCAACTCAACCGGCATCCTGGTATTAATGTATACCGACAGCCAGGGTTTTTATGGCTCAACGAAACATGTAGACTTAGACGATATACGTCAATCAATATTATTGTATGGTTTTCTGGTCACTGATGCGCTGCATCTCTAGTCAGCATCACATCGATGGAAAATATAAAAGATAAGAAAATATTGGGTGATCCTAAGATTAAATTAAATGGAATCATGTTTATTACGTAATTCATAACGTAAACATATCCGAATATTCAAGGCGCGATAACTATATTGTTATCCTGGGGCCCGTCTTATAAGAGTTGCGATTGATCCGAACCAGTCGCAAGTCCTCCAATCAATCGCACTAACCATAGTATACAGTCTCCTACGCACATAGTTGCGATTGATTTTAATCGCAAATAAGTAGCGATTAATCGCAACTGTTAATAAGACGGATCCCTGGTCACTGAATATCAAGCCCGAGCACAATGTCAGTTGATACCATCTTCATTCATTCACCGTCTCAGATCAACTAATCTAAACGTAAGGTACTAGTATAGGAATTTGTAGTTAAAGTTGATACTCTAAGCAAATAAATGTCCCTTAATTTGTTACCTACGGCAAGTATATGTTATTTTTAAGTTTTTCAATTACTTAGTATATCACAAAAAAAATTCTGTCTACTCGAAATCCTCAATTGAAATGTCTAAAATATCCGCCTCTCTTTGCATAGAAAATCAGTCACGACGCTGGTCTACTATTTATGACCTCACGTCCGGGAGAGAGTATATTCACGTACCCGGATGTTCCATAGCAAACATGTGCAGAGTGATACGATTTTCTGCATATTTTTGTTTCAAAGGCTGAAAAGTCTAATAAATCATAATTCTATGTACAATTCTTTACCTTCCCCTAGTACTTCATAGTATTAATATCAATTCCCCTTTTAAAAATTATGACATATACATGCCAACGATGTGCTATTAGTCGATATTTTCACCATGTAATTTTTGTTTTGGTGTTGAAATCGGCCCAGGCACGGAGTGAACAGTAGCTGTCTACCCATGCACAGTTCATTACCATACACTGCAGCGATCTCCCGATGGTTTCTTCTTCCTTTTTCCCATGTCTTTCGCCTTCCTTGGCCCTGAACATCCTTCATCTACCAATTCTGACACCGGTAGTCAGGAGCAAGTCTTTGTTAGTTGTTTTTCTTAGCTGGCAACGTCACTTTCATTCTCTTGCAATTGCCGATAAACATATAACTAGCGCACGTACGTTCCATCACAAGCAAGCAGCGCCTAAAGCAGCGGCTTGGTCTTACCTCCCGATTCTGCTCGCTCCACGAACGTTCATGCAAGAGCCGCATCACTCGCCAAAATATTATAGAGGAAGCGCGCTTGCATGATCTCGTTCAAGTTTGATATTTTACAACATAAAATGTTTAACTGGTACTGTATCCTTTTTTGAGGCAGTCACACACATCTATGATAAGTACTATCATAGTTCTAGACCTATTCGTTTTACAAAACTGCTCATGTACATCTGATGACAATAATTTATAATGCATCCGCCTATTCATAAGTGCACGATTTAACTTTAATTCCTAAGCAGTAAACTCGTCTTAAATCTCTACCAAATAGGTGAATATGAGGATATAAAAAGAAATCAGCGACTGGAAAATGTTGCTTCGTTATTCTTCATTCAAATAAAAACAGAAAATCCATCAAATATACTCCTTAACAACAACAAATCTAAGCTCTGACAGGATAGCATTTACGTAGGGATATCACTGCCATTCACTCTCACTGAGCCCATGACTCCCGTTCGTGACGTCACGGATAGAGGCCCGACTCTACGTGCACTTCCGGGTTTCAGACTTAGATATTTTGGTAGAGTTTACTCGAATAAATTCATTATTCTAAACTTGTTTTGTCGGGTGGACACCATTTGGTGTTATTATGGGGGTTAAAAGCTTTCTATTTATGTAATTATCTCAGTATTTGGGATTGTCTTAGAGTATCAGCTTTAAACATCCTTTGGGATAGATACGTGCGTACCAAGTTTAGCAACTATCATCATCATTATCATTCAAACCTTAACGGTATGAGTTCCAACCACATGCATGCGGGGGGGAAGGGCAAATTTACAAAATCAATTCTCTTTACACTCCTGTCTATTTTGGTGTTTATATGGTCCTTGGTATCATTTCATTTAATCTTGAAGATGGCAAACAATATCTATTTGACTTCTAACTTATCATTTCACATAATTTCCCGATAATTCCTAAAGGCATCCTAATCTCATCTTCCAACACTTAGAAACTTGGTTTATTCTTCACATTCTAACCAACAAAAACTCTCTACCAATACTCATAAACATGTGCTAGTGCTGAGTGAGCTCTCTATTATGCTGGCTATAAATTTTGCCAGATGTAAGTTTTGTCGTCATCCTGTGGATTTTCCAGCTCCTTGCCATCAAAACAGATTGCGCCTCCTCCATCAACATGTGAAAGTCAAGCTTCGTGAAGGTCAAAAGCCGAAGACGTTGTATTTGAAGAGGATCAGACATATCAATTTTGATCTCGTTTGAAAGACATCATCTTTTCTTCCTTACCGCGAGCCACTTTGTGATGGAAGGAGTTATTTTGAGAGAGGCAGAGGAAGTCAGTCAGCAGCTCCATTATCTATTGTTGTGGACGAATCATTATCCTCTTGGAAACATTATGATTTAAGAAGGTGCTGGTTTCTCAGTTTGGTTGTTTGGTAATTGTGATTCCTTTGAAAGCGCTGCTACTCTTGCCATGCTCTTTTCCCAATGGCTCGCTATCATTAAATCTCACAAGTTTGTATTTGCAAACCCGCCTGTTATAAATAATAATATGAAGTATTGCAAAGGCGGTCTAATCATAAATGCAATGTTATTATCCAGCACCAAATCTGCGGAAATGGCGGGAATTCTATACTGACGCAGCACCAAGACCTGACTGTCATGATAATATTCTGATTCAGTTGAACACCACCTTCTTTGCTCAAACGTTTTGTGATACTTTCCTTAAAAGCTTGAAACATCCGTTTCGGAATACTCGTCAGTCGCCACTCAAACCGTCTTACTATAAGTAGTTCTCTCGGAATATAATTGACTGTATTTGACATTACCTATCTAGCTCATTACAGTACAGGTCATTAGTATTACAGCATCGGCGCATTATTAACTTATCTAATTCATTTTATAGAGTCAGCAAGCCTATTATACTATGAATAACAGAAACGAGACTTGAAAATTCTCACCGTCTGATTAGAAACTCCCAGTTGTGATTTCTGCCTCAATGGCAATTATAATAATGCTTGTGTTATGGACTCGAGAATATAAGGCCCTATATTGAAATAAAAATGTGACATTAAAGAACCCCCCCCCCCCCAAAAAAAAAAAAAAAAAAAAAAAAAAGGAGATACACCAAAATAGTTGAATGAACCGATCATGTCTCCTTGCAATGACTTGTCTTACATCTGTACACGGATTCATCATAACAACAGAACAGATACACACAACAAGGTATGAAAAAAGACGAACAGAAACATTCAGCCGAAAACATGCGAAACTTGATACGCAGTTGACATTAGTATGACACCACCGACTCTGACCTTAGCGATGACACACAACGCGACGAACCCGTGAATGATGGGCGGTACTCCCCAGCCCATCGGGGGTCCGAAGTCAACAACGATCACCTCTCAGCACCGGTGACCGCGGGAACGTGTCGAAATGAAGAAACGTGAAAAACGGGAAGCCATCAAAATACCTCGAGAAGTATAAAGATGTACAAACTGTCACTGCAGCTGTCAGCTTGCGTCATGTCAAACTGTCGGTGTGTTTCCAATTTTGTTTTGGATGCACCCTTCGCAACATTTGGGGTGATGTTTGAGTTCTATATACGGTCCGGCGATAATTGCTCCCCAGTCACTTTTCTACATCAACCGAATTCCTCACTTCACTTTATAAGGACTGAACAATATATATATCATCCTAACTCTAACCATAACCTGACAAACAACCTAATTGAATTCGTAACTTTAAGCATATAGTAAAATAAAGTGTATCTTTGGAACCTTAGGAACTGAGGCAACTTTTTGTTTAAACCAGATCACTTATAACGGTATATAATCACAATAATGTTAAAGATAAAGGTGAGTACTGGTAATGCGATTGCATTGTGAAAGAAAATGTGTGGAATGGATCAAAAACAGTTGATTATGTAGCATGTAAGTATTGGTGTGCACTGTAAGGTTCTGGAGTCATCAAAATCATAATAAATTTGGCCGAGTCTTGGTAAAATATCAAGCACTGTACACAGAAAGCTATATATGGGACAACACACATGGTATCGGGGCTAGTACTACCTTGATTTCCTTGTCTTTCTATGCTCATTACTGAGCCAGTATACATTTTCTTCCAAAATTGTTTGGCACATGTCATTAATTTGTAATCTTGAACATTCAGTGTAAGTTTCGTTTGTTTCTGTGAGAATTAATTTTCTTTTTTTTACCAGAACTGGAGTTTATCTTTAAAGTTGAGTTCATG